AATATGACATAAACAAAGGGAATCGAGACTTACCCAATTCAGGGTTCGTTGAACCTCGAAGAAAAGACCTGACGCGTTACTCGGGCCGACAACATCCTCGATACCGGTAAACAAATCATGGAAGGGGTCCTCTCCCTCATGGGCCCCGTCTACCTCGAGGGTCCCCAAAGCTCGGGCTTCCCGAATCTCCCCTTCAGAAAAAGCAGGGAGAGTAGGCGAGTCTCCGATTACTATTGCCCCAAGCGAGTCGCTTGGGGCGTTCTCCTCAATTCGAAGAGCTTTAGATATATCTACCGTTTGTTGACTTCGATGGGAGGCATCCTCGATCTCCAATGACTCGGGGACTTTGCCCGATTCCTTCTCCGATATCCCCTTAGTTCGAGACGGAACCTTATCAACCGCCATCGACCCAACTGCCTTTGGGCATCGATGGTTTTCTTCACTCGGGCCACCAATATACACCCATCATTTTTTTTTCTTCTTCTTCTTCTTCTTCCCTTAGACGCCGAACTGATTCGTCGGTCAAAAGGATGGTATTCTTCCTCGGCTTACAAATCATCCTTGTCTTAATTTTTGGATCCTCGAAAGTAGATGGGGGCCTCATAACCGCATCTTTGCCCAAGCCTACACATAAGAAAATTGGTTAAGTATAAAAAAGATATTTTGTTCGAATCATCGAAGACATGGGAAAGAGGCTTACTATGAGTTTTAGCCTCCCATCGGCCCTTTGATAAGTCGCGCCACGAGCGCTCGTCGTATGTGGATGTCTAAGCCAAGTCCCGTACCCAGTTCTTAAGGTTAGGAATAACACCGGGCATCCAAGCAACCGCTACATCACGGAAAAGGATATCGGTGAGAAAGAAACGAAGGAGCTAACAGTAAAATTATACTTACGCTTCATGTTTCATTCCTGGAGAAATGGTATCTTCTCGGTCGAGATTAGGTCGAAAGTCTTCACTCGAACGAACCTGCCCATCCAGCCTCGGGACTTGTCCTTGTATATGCTCGAGAACAACACTTTATTAGCCTGGCGCTGGAGTTTTATTAACCCACCTCGATAAGCGGGGGTTGAACAATTTGATGAGATGGTCGAGGGTGAAAGGCATCCCCTCGATTTTGTTCACGAAGAAGCGGATCAGAATAACGATTTGCCAAAAGAATGATGGATTTGGCCCAGGGTTACTCGGTATTGGCAGCAAAAATCAATGACAACTGGGTCGAGGGGCCCCAACGTAAAAGGGTAAGTATAAACACTTAAAAACCCTTTCATATGAGTATTAATATCTTCTTCGGGAGCCGGGATTATCACTTATTTGTTCTCCCAGTTGCAATCGTTTCTTAATTGTTCAAGATGTCCCTCGGTTATCGAGCACATGTACCTCGATACTGGCTCGCATCGATCGGAAACTGGCGAAGCTTTGTCGATCTTAAAATTAGAAGTAAAAACACACACCTCGGGAACACACTCCTCAGATCGTGGCTCCACCGGTGTTTTGTCGCCGGCGGGCCGTGAAGATGAAGCTTTTTCTTTGTGAGGAACGGTTTTTGACGTTTTCGCCATTTGGATTTTGAAGATAGAGAAAGATGACAAGATTTGGTATTCTGAAGAGGGATTTTGCAGTGAAAATCGCAGTTTACAGATGAAGAACTCAGAAGATGCGAAAAAGAAAGAAGATTTGGAAATTGAAGATGTAAAAGTAAAAAATGGTAAAAAGATGAGCTATTTATAGGGTTGGCAATGACGGTTCAAAATCAACAAATGACCGACCATCGTCTGACACACATTTAATGCCTTGGTAACTGAACCGACGAGACATCTATCACGTACGTCATGGTCGGGCTCGATGCAAACATTAGTGTATATCTAGTCATACCGTTGGAAAATCATGTCATTTCTTTTCATATTCTTTCCGAGAAACGAGAGGACTATCTGTATACGGTCAAAACCGGTTTCGACCTTCGTATGATTAGTTAAGATTGGAACATAATGGACCGAATATCATCTTCATAATATCGAGATAAGATCTGAAGCCAGGGTACCGAGCTCAAATTTCTGGGACCGATCGAATACCGAGCTCGAAGTCATTACCGAGCTCGAGTCCAAATATGATATGAAGCGGTGTCATCGAGCTTAAGAGCCAGAGACCGACCAATATCGAGCTCGAGTCGATACCAATCCTCATGTTAATATTGAGCTCTAAATCTGAAAATCGACCAATACCAAATTCGATCAAGATCGAGCCAAGAGACAAAAGCCGTTACAGCCGCACTAAGGGAGAGAATCTCGGCGGGAATTAGGGAAAAACTAATCTATCATGGGATCCCCACTATGTATTTTTAATTACATCTAAAGTAGGATCCCTCAACTATAAGATAGATGGCTACTATCTTTGGAAGGGAGAGAAGATTAAGGCATTCATACATTCACATATTCAGAGATTACTGATATTCTTAGAGATTATCCTTTTGTGAGTTTTATGCATTGATTCATCTTGCTTGTTCATAAATCATTCTCCATTCAATTCGGTTCGTATTTCATTCTTTACGATCAATATTCGACGTATTTCTACTTACCTTTACAATTTGTGTCAAATTATACCACGTATCCTTAGAACCACGTATAAATTCAACACTATTTATTTTTCGGGTAAACAAAAAGGTACGAGGAAGACATGTGAGACAAATTCTTCTCAAAATATGAATCTACCACATTCTTATTGGCAGATTGGTAATTAAGAGTATCCCAATATTATTTGTGCTATCTTGTCTACTCTAATTGAGAAACTAGTCTTAGGATACGCGATTTGCGCGTGCCCTATATCAATGCGAATAAACATTATAAATTATATAAATATTATTAAATAATTTATTTGATTTATAAAATAAAATTTTAAAACATATAAGTTCCTAAAATTGGTGATTCTTGACTCTATTTTGCTAACTCAACAAAAGAATAGGTTTTGTCTCACAATAGTTCTCAATCACCACAGTCAATATATTTAACATAAAATTTATTTCAGTTTTATAATTTTATTACTTTAATTCTACAAGTTATGCATCGTTTTTTTCAACAAGACCATATAACTTTGAAGATTTAGAATTATTTTATTTTTATTTAAAAAAAACTACATATTCTTATTGTCATTCTAAAAAGACATAAACATGACGTCATCTAACTCACATAAGACGTTAATACTATCTTAAAAGAAGTAAAAATATAAAATTCATGTAAAATTAGAATTATAGTTTATTCTTTCAATAAATTCTCACGGATTTAATGTGTTAGTTTACTTGTGTGTGTATAATCAGGCAAAGTTAGTCTAATTAGATTCAAAAAGAAAATCATGTTAATAATTTTTTTTCCGATCTATATAAGGTAACTTTTTAATTGATATAAGTCAAATTTTAGTTGGTTTCAAAATCCTAAATATTAGGAAAATAACCTAAATTACAATTCTATCCAATATAAAATATGTTTCTAAAGGATAAAAAGGAGAACGATATTTCGCTAAGGGTCTTCGTACTTTTAATATAGTATAGATAAATATAGATTATTGTGCTTCTTAAAAATAAGTGAATAAATAAATCAAATAACAAAAACATCTAAAGAATATTCATACGTATGCATGAATAAACAAAGGCTAAATGCCCTTTAGTTGCATTAAACTCAATATCCCCTTCAACTTTACACATTGCAATTAATACCCCCCTGATCAAATTGATATCTTTTAGGAAACTATTTTTTTTTATATAGATTGCAATTAGTACCACAAGAAAGATAGTCTCACCATTTAATGAAAAGGTATAAAAGTTACCTTGAAGTTCAATACTCTGCTTTCTTCTCTTTTAATTTATGCGTGATAAAGGATGGGGGGGGGGGGGGGATAGAAAGAAAGAGTAAAAGAAGTTAACTAGGGACAAATATGCTGCATTCTCTTCTTAATTTTTTGGAAGAAAGCAATAGAGTTTAAACTAATTAATAATGCAGAAAATTATACTTTCTTTGTCCCATTTATATGGCATTAATATTATAGAGTGAATCAAAGAGATTTTTTAAGTACGTTGTTTTAGATATTAATTTTTACTTGTAAAAATGAGATTAAAGTACATTTTGTGGTTTTTCCCTAATATATAAAAATTTAGGCAATCCAAGTCTAAATTTACCTAGAAAATTAGACGTATAAACCATATGGGGTTGGAGAGAATACTAATTTATTCAAAGACTATGAAATAAATTATTGTAGAATTATGGAACTTTAAACAAGGGTTGCTCGTTTGTTTGACCAATACTTATTTGGACAAGTGTATGAGAACATTGACCCTGTAGTTTCTATAAATACTTTCTTAAGGACCAAAAAGAAAATATTGAATACTGAATTTCAACATTAGGGAGATATTAAAAATACTGGCTTTAAGTAAAAAATCTTCAATTTTTACAAATTTTAATTATTGAAATTCATATACAAAGTAACTTTCATTTTTATTTATTTATTTATTTTAGGTATCAAATACCTTTTTCCAACTGGAATTCAATTATTGTCCAAATGGCTAGCGAATAATTTTAATCGGGTAGACCGGTAGAGTCCCAAACTCCACAGTCCACAGGAAGGAAAGACAGAAACGTGTTTATAAAAATACAAAGAGAAATCACAGATCATCATTCCATAATACACTCAGCCACCTTTATAGTACACACTTCACTTTAGCTTAGCATTGTCAGCAAAGATTCCAAGCCTCCAACCAATCTCTACTNCCAACCCCAAGTGAGCAAAAAGAAAAGAAAAAGTAAACCCACATTTCTCCTTCATTTACCTACCAAGTACCAACATATCTGAATTCAATTATCAAAATTAAGCATCTTTTTTGCTCTGCTATGTGGGTCACAGAGTAAAGTGGAGCTAAAATTTCCACTGTCCAAGATGCCGTGTTGCAAGAATTCAATCAAATGTGGCCGTGGATCGGTTCCAGTGTACTTAAATGTATACGATCTAACCTCAATCAATGGCTATGCTTATTGGCTTGGTCTTGGTGTTTACCATTCTGGTGTTCAAGGTCAGTAATTCCATACCCATTTTGTTTATTCTTGAATATTTTCATAATTTCCTACTGATTTAGCTATATTAGATCTGTGCTTCAAACCTGGGCCTTTCTGCTTTATATATTGTAGTAAAAATACAATCTTTTTACTTAAATCAGTTCAATTATTTGTCAGTAACATATGGTAAAAGATTTGATAATAGTGGGCTTATAACAAGAAAAGGTAGAAATGATATAAGGTAATCGCTCTAAAGGGCTGCTGTGCATCTTAATCTTAATTTTTCAATTCAATTTTTCGGGGCAAAAGTGTCTTGAATTGTCTGAAGTTACGATATTTAGTTTCAAATTTCAGGACAAAATAAGTACCGCCTAATCTCTAAATAGTATATGGCTATTTGTGCACTTGCCCTATGCTTTATGAACTAGTGATGATTAAAGTAGAAATATTTTTACTTAACTCAGCTTAATTATTTGTCAATAGCATATGGTAACTAAAGATTTGTTAATGGTGGATTATGGTTAGCTAGTTCACGGAGTTGAGTATGCATTTGGAGCTCATGAGTATCCAACTACTGGAATTTTTGAAGGGGAGCCAAAAAAGTGCGAGGGATTTATTTTTAGAAAGACCATTTTGATTGGATGGACAGAGAAAACACCTGGGGAAGTAAGAGGAGTAATGGAAGAGCTTGCTGATAAGTACAAAGGAATTGCTTACAACCTTATTACCAAGAACTGCAACCACTTTTGTAATGATGCTTGTATTAAACTCACCAGCAATCCAATTCCCAGTTGGGTTAATCGACTCGCTCGGATTGGTAAGATTTTCAGATTTTCTGTCTTTTTCAGTCGGATTTATTGCTTCACTTATTGTACACCATATTAGGAATCTTTTTAATTTAGTTAATAATTGTACGTTACTGTTAGGGTAAGCTTGAGAATTTATAAACTACTTCTAGTTTTAGAAGAATTTTTGAGTATTGGAATACAATGAATATAGCGGAACAGAGTTAAAGAATTCATATAGTTTAAATTGAAAAAATAGGACATCACTCTACCTTAATGCAAACATTAGTAACTGCTTCCACGATTCGAAATCATACCTACCAGAGATAACTTTATTGTTGCTCCAAGGCTCCCCTTCAAATTTAAATTGAAAACATAATTAATTGATATTAGGTCGAACTTGTTACTGTCGTTTTCTCAACATGTAGTTGAATCAGGAAGTTTCTTGCTAGTTTCATAGAAGTCTCAATATTTGTTCTTATTGTAATTAAGTTGAGGACCTACAGTAGGAGGATATAGGAAGTACTTGTCCAGGAACTTTCTTAGAAATAAATGTGTTTACCCTAAAATTCGAGTAATAATTAAACTTATTTAGTGGTTTTAAGGATACGTGATTTAATCCAATACCAATTGACAAACAAGGAATTGAATAGATAATCTAAATAAGAAAATAAATCAAACCAGTGTTCTAGCAGCGTTTTCGACCTTGATTCGAGATGGTCTCGAGGTTGAGCAGGAAGAACAGAGGATCAACAATGATGAACAGTAATGGAGAGTAAGTAAAATAAAGAACAATGTTTTTGTATATCTTTATCAGTGAATCAATGCTCCTTACAAATGAATGGGGTCCCTCTTTATATAGTAGAGGAATCTTAAACAAGGTACAATTCTAATAACGGAAACAAATCCCATGATTGGCGTTAATAACTGCTTGATTCGATCTGTTCAAGGATTTCTGCCGAGATCTTCGGTCGGTTGCTAATATCTCGTCATTCCGTTATTATGCCCTACTCGAAGTCAGTCATGCTCGGTCTCGATCTTCGGTGAGCACTTCGATCCTCATGCTCTGCCATTGAGCCCGAGCCTGGTCTATTACGAGCTCGTTCTCGAGGCAGCTCCTCGTACCTTCGAAATCCGACATACCCGATTTCGACCGTATACAAAATGCTTGCTTGATGTAATAAAGTTTGGTTATGGTGAGAAATGAGAATGACATTTCGCAGCCATTGCGGAAGATTCCCACCAAGTTCAATGGCTGCCCAAACTCAGGGGCATGATTTTGTGCAGCCATTGAACTAATATTCCGCATTTAATTATACGGGTTAATGGTTCTTAAGTTTGAAATTTTGTGTTCTCCAACTAGTTGATATGAGAAATTTATTTAATAAACTTAGTAATTGTTGGTGTAGGTTTCTTTTGCCATTGTATCATTCCAATGAGCTTAAAGTCTACTAAAGTTCGGCACCATCGGATGGAGGACAAGGCAAGTGAAGGGGACAGCAAGAAACCTCAGAGCAGCTCGAATAGACAGACTCCCACTTCAAATCCATTTCCAGCTTCTTCGCAATCTCCTCCAATTGCCAAATCCACAAGTAATAAAAGCAAAAGCCCGCTGCCTCCATCTTTGCCATTGATATCAGATTCAACGTCGTCGTCGTCGCAATCTCCTCCTATAGTTGCCAAATCCACAAGTAATAAAGTTACAAGACCGCAACCTCCATCTTCGTTGATATCAGAATCAAATTCATCTTAGAATTCTTGATGCAGAATGGCCGTGCTTTATTTGATTCACCAGTGATTCTTTTGCTCGATGCTACAAAATACTAGTAATTAACTACCACTCGAGAAGCCTTGCAAATTTTGTATACACGAATGCATTCAATGAACTGGGATCGACCTTCTTTGTGCAGTGAAACTGACTGCTGTTTAACAGATAGCTAACCCAATTTTAGAGTAAAGTGAAAATCTAAAATTATGCAGCAACAAAAAACTAGCATAATAACCTTATTATGATCATTGTAAAATTAGTTAAACTATGACATTGAACATGAATTGAGCAGAATAAATATAGCAACATATAGTGCCAATCCAACTAATTTAGAATTAAGACATTATTGATTGATTAACTACTCAACCATTTATGCACTTGATTATCTTGGGGAGAGTGCACGGCACGCTTGAAATGAAGGGGAGCTTTTGCAATGTGGTCACTGGTCACAAGGGTAGAGTAGGAAGTCACTGTTTATCTCTGAAAAGGGTTGGAGAAAAAAAAAAGTGTTATAGTATGAGATCGAAGCCTAGGAATATTATGTGCTTTTCCTTTTAGAGGGACATTATTTGCTATTCAGCAGCTTTGGACAAATCATACCACTTTTTTCTTTTGATTTTTTCCAAACCCGTCACATTTGTCTCCCAATCTTTATCGTGATGAACCAACTTTTAGTCCTAAAGGCTGATACTATACCTGAGAGGTGACCGTGAATTGACCAAAAGATATCACTAATCACTGTATTAAAAAATTCCAACCTTTCGTGTTCATGTTTCATTCGTACCCTCTTATCCTATATGTTCATTTTTTCTCGCATGATATAAGAATTTTATGACCAAAAAGAAAGAAGACAAAAGCTATTCATGGAAATGAATAAAGTCCAACAATAATGACTCTGCTTCTCCTTCCTATTGAGAAAGGATAAAGAAGCATCACAAGCTCTAAATTATTTACAAAGAAAGGATGCATAACAGTGTAAAAGCAACAAAAGTAAATGACTAGCACTCAAAGGGAAGAGCGTGGAGGGGGGAGTTTTCTAATTACAATAAACAGGCGATGATGAACCAGAAAACCCTGGAGAAGGTGACTAGATCAAGTCAAATTTTCATTAAATGTACAAGTGCAAAAGTTAGAATGGATGAAGCTTGATGAATATATAGGGAGCAATGACACTAGCACAGAAAGATGAAAATGTAAAAAGAGAGAGCATCCGCCAAATAGCATACACTGACCTGTTCAGGGACCGGTAACTTAAATAAGAACCCATAGCAGGTTAGCTGACTTAAATATGGTATCATACCAGCTTAGCTAAACCTCATTTTTTGACTCAAATATGGTATCGTATATTTGCAGGAGTCTCCTGCCAGTAAAAATATGCTTTATCAATTTCAATGAATAATTTCAAAGAGGTATCCAATTCACTTCTGCGCTATGCAAGAATATGAAGATATTCAAAACCCCAGGCGACAAGAAAAGTATTGATCAGCATTGTTGAGCAACCATACCGATAGGGGATCCAGCTAAACAGGCTTTGTTCCAAATATGATGGAAGATGTCACTTACCAGTATCCTGCCTTCCGATGGTACATTAACAACTTGATAACATTGACCTAGCAGTGCTGCTGGCTTCTATTTCCATTCAGTTTTTCTACCATCCAGTAACATGGGCTTCCCATATCTTAAGTCAGAAACACAAAAGAGCATTTGTACAAGGATGTATTCTACATTCTCAAAATATACTCTTCACATAAGTTGCTATGACATGGGTACGGATCATTTGAGATGTAAATTTTAAGATTCGGATCCTAGAACCGACACGGGTGCAGGGATCCGCCTAAAAATAAAAATATCTCTAAATTATAAGAAATTTTGTAGAATACTTACCTATAGCTTGTAAAGTGTGGATTTCTTTTTTATTCTAAGTTGTAGGCGTGATTTTTTGTTTTTCTTCCATATTCTCCTACAAGTTACACAAAGTATATTAAAAGATAATAGATATCACATAACTCTATAAGTAAAAGAGTTAGATATATAAAGATAAAGAAAACATACCTTTTAGGCTTTTACTGGTTTTGTCGAAGAACTTGACATGAACATAAAGAATAAAAGTCAGTAATTATCATTAAGCATTCCTCTCACAAGTCACAAATTATAAAGAATTAGCCATTCTCATTAAGTCAATCAAATAAGCATGAGCACCAAAAAGGAAAAAATAAACTACAATTGCAATCACCATTTCCTATACAAAGTTACATTTACATTGAACTACGTAAACTAATAAAAAGTAGGGAAGTATAACTATTAAGTTTTAGCATCATTCTTCCTCAATATTTTGACAATCAATTTCTTACACATCTTCAACCTCTTCTTCAAAGATGACTCCTTCTAGTTGAGGTCAGTGTTTTTGAGAGCAAGAAGCGCAAAAAAGCGACAGGGGCTCGCCTCGCTTTAAAAACGAAGCGCACGCTTCATTGAAGTGAAGCGCAATTCTTAAAAACCATAATGTAAACCTTGCAAAGACACAATATAAATAATCAAAAAGTTCAATTTATATATAAGAAAAAAACATAATCAAATAAACTGAAAATATAATATATATATATATATATATATATATATATATATATATATATTATTTTCAGTTTATTTGATTAGTATTTTAGCCTTTATTTATTAATTTTTATGTGTATTTCAATTTATAAAGTTAATTATTATATATATATATATAAAATAATTAACTTTATAAATTGAAATACACATACAAACTAATATATAAAGGCTAAAATACTAAATAAGAAGAACAAAAGGAAAAACAAAAATTGCGCCTGCCCTAGCTGTGAGCAGACGCCTGGACGGGAACAAGAAGAAGAAAGCAGAAAGAAAAAAAAGGAGAAGAAGAAGAAAGAAGAAAAATTACCTGGAGGATTGGAGGTCTCTGGCGACTTGAACCCTAGCAGCACTCAACAACAATTGATTTGGGAAGAAGAGAAAAATGGTCTTCACTTTGGTCTTAGGGGTCTGTTTTGTATAATAAAAAAACAGACCCAACTTTTTTTTTTTTAAAAAAACTGACCCCTCTGAACAGAAGCGAGCGATTCTGCGCTTCAAGGTCGCTTTGCTCTTTTTCGACTGAAGCGAGCGCTTCGTGTGGTCGATTCGCCTCAGGCATGGAAAAGCGAGCAGCCATTGCTTCGCGTCGCTTCTCGATTAAAGCAATTGCTCCGTCGCTTTTTAAAACACTGGTTGAGGTTCATCTATTGATAAGTCAACTAGATCACCGGTGGCTTCATCAACATCAAAACGATCTTTACCTAAAGCAAAATTAAAATATAAATGATTTAAAATATAAAATCAAGAAAACATAGATTATAGACATACCGACATCCCAATACTTGCTTAGGCCACTTATATATTTTTTCTTTTTGACGAGAAAGCAAGCGAAGATTGTAGTGCACAAAAACTAGATCTTCGACTCTTGAAGTCTCTAACTAGTTTCTTTTGATGCTATGGATCGACAAATAGGTTCTCCAATTCGTTTCGCAATAAGAAGAAGAAGCCGGTTGTGAGAGCAAAGCTTTGCAAAAGTGGAGCGTTTACACCATGGTTAGCCCACCAAGATAGAGACACCTCATACATCATAGCCTCAACCACATGAGGCTCACTAAAAAAATCACTCCCACTTGCGAATGCTCCATACTCCAAAGACGCTTGTTTTAGATCTATTTAAAGTATCTTTGGAAGCATTTAACCCTATTTAAGGAAATCTCTCTATCCTCATTGGGAGCAAGCCTTCGAACCCCATTGCCTTTTTTAAGCCATGATTCGTGGTAGTATTTGGGTACCAATGAATGTGTCATATAATGTAAAGGAATGTTACTCTTATTCCACCTAGCAAAAAGAATTTCTTGAATTGTATCAAAAAGGTCTGATTGCCCGATAATATGATCCTTCCCCTCTTGCTCAAAGATAATTGCCTTCACCTTTTCGATCATTGTATCCTACATATCATAAACAAGATGCAACGTTGGAGCATCAAGATCGGCACTTCTAAGCATAGACACAATTAGTTCCGTAAGCTTTAAAAAGTACGCAATCTTATCCCACCATCCGTCATTCATTACAAGGGATTTTATTTGGCGCGTTTTAGCTTCAATCACTTTATCTCCCTTATAATTTCTCCAATCATCATCCATCACCATTCTTTCCAATGATGCTTTCACTTGATGAACACGACTAGTGATGACAATATGAGATGCAAATCTCGTTTCGGTAACTTTCAACAAAGACAAAGTCGAATACTTTTGAAAAAGAGCATGAGCCATATCATTACTTGCACCAACCTCTTCAATTGATTTAATGTTGTTCAAGTAATCGATGCAAGTAATGTTGTTCAAGTTATCATCGATAATGCAAGTAATATGAAGCTTGCCGGTTCTGAGCAAACTTTTCCACATATATTTTGGACACCATGTGTTGTTCATTGTTTGAACCTTGCACTAAAAAGTATGTGCAAACTTCCAAAAAATCAACTCAATTTGTGAATTGCAAATGGATTTTAGATTTGATTATTGAAGTTAGTAGCTTGAAAATTTTTGTGTTGAATTATGATACGGCTCATGCTCTTTTTCAAAAGCATTCGGCGTTGTCTTTGTTGAAAGTTGCCGAAACGAGATTTGCATCTCATGTTGTCATGACTAGTCGTGTTCATCAAGTAAAAGCATCATTGGAAAGAATGGTGATGGATGATGATCGGAAAAATTATAAGGGAGATAAAGTGATTGAAGCTAAAATGCGTGAAATAAAATCCTTTGTAATGAATGACGGATGGTGGGATAAGATTGAATACTTTTTAAAGTTTACGTAATCAATTGTGTCTATGTTTAGAAGTGCCAATCTTAATGCTCTAAAGTTGCGTCTTGTTTATAATATGTGGGATATAATGATCGAAAATGTGAAGGCAATTATCTTTGAGAAGGAGAAGATCTTATTATCGGGCAATCAGACTTTTTTGATACAATTCAAGAAATTCTTGTTGCTAGGTGGAATAAGAGTAACACTCTTTTACATTGTATGACACATTCATTGGTACCAAAAATTACCACGAATCATGGCTTAAAAAAGGCAATGGGGTTCGAAAGCTTGCTCCCAATGAGGATAAAGAGATTTCTTTAAATAGGGTTAAATGCTTCCAAAGATACTTTAAATATTCAAATGATCTAAAACAAGCGTCTTTGGAGTACGGAGCATTCGCAAGTGGGAGTGGTTCTTTTAGTGAGCCTCATGTGGTTGAGGCTATGATGTATGAGGAGCATGTATCTTGGTGGGCTAACCATGGTGTAAACGCTCCACTTTTGCAAAGCTTGGCTTACAAATTGCTTTCACAATCGGCTTCTTCTTCTTGTTGCGAAAGGAATTGGAGCACCTATTTGTTGATCCATAACATCAAAAGAAACAAGTCAGAGACTTCAAGAGCCGAAGATCTAGTTTTTGTGCACTACAATTTTCGCTTGCTTTCTCGTCAAAAACAAAAAATATACAAGTGGCCCAAGCAAGTATTGGGATGTGGGTATGTCTATAATCTATGTTTTCTTGATTTTATATATTTTTTAATATTTTAAATCATTTTTATTTTAATTTTGCTTCAGGTGGAGATCGTTTTGATGTTGATGAAGCCACCGGTGATCTAGTTGACTTATCAATAGATGAGCCTCACTTAGAAGGAGTCATCTTTGAAGAAGAGGTTGAAGATGTGTAAGAAATTGATCTTGAAAATAGTGAGGAAGAATGCTAAATATTATTGTTCAAATGCTAAAACTTAATAGTTATACTTTCCTACTTTTTATTAGTTTATATAGTTCAATGTTAATGTAACTTTGTATGGGGAATGGTGATTGTAATTGTAGTTTATTTTGGCCTTTTTGGTGCTCATGCTTATTTGATTGACTTAATGAGAATGGCTAACTCTTTATAATTTGTGACTTGTGAGAGGAATGCTAAATGATAATTACGTCTTTTATTCTCTATGTTCATGTCAAGTTCTTCGACAAAACCAGTAAAAGCCTAAAAGGTATGTTTTCTTTATCTTTATATGTCTAACTCTTTTACTTATGTAGTTATGTGATATCTATTATGTTTTAATATACTTTGTGTAACTTGTAGGAGAATCCGAGAATGGAAGAAAATCAAGAAATCACGCCTACAACTTGAGAATAAAAAAGTAATCCACGCTTTACAAGTTATAAATAAGTATTCCACAAAATTTCTCATAATTTAGAGATATTTTTAAATTTTTATTTTTTTGAATTTTTTTTAGCCAGATCCCCGCACCCGTATCAATTCCAGGATCCGTATCCCCGAATCTTAAAATTTACATTTCAAAGGATCCGACCTCTAGATCCACACCTGTGTCAGAGCAACTTAGTTGGCAAAGTCCTCCAACTGACACCAGAATGTATGGGATGCCATTAGGGAGCCAACCAACTCTAAGTCTACCCATGAACAATGCTGCATTAATCACTAGAGTGGCTTCCACTTATAGGTATTTGTTGCTTGATATCCAGATTCCAGCTCAAAATCTTCAGCCTTTTCTTTTGTCTCCATAAGCAGACTTTTATTCTCTTGGTTCATCAAAATGGACCCGTGTGTGGCTAAGCCGAAACTACCATGTTCATATCCGATAAAAACTGAAGGAGTCTCTGTCTCGGGTGCTTATCGGGCGGATTGGACGGATTATTACGTTTAACGGTTCGGCTTATCGGATATCGGATTATAAATGTAGTAATCCGCTAACCATCCAATAAGACAACGAGCGGATTGGTATCAGATTAACGATTATCGCGCAGTTTATCAGCTAAATAAAATAGAAATTTTTTGAACCCTAGTTCTTTTGGTTGCATAGCTAAAAATATTTTCCTGTAAGTTGTCAGATTTCATTACTACTGCTATATTAAAAAGCACTAAAAGAAAGTGCCTTTTATCCCTTACTCTTCAAGACAACCGTACAATCAAGGAATATATATACCAACAACAGAAAAAGAAAGAAGAGATGCACGTAACTTCTTAACATACATCATTTGAGTACATGCTTTTCAATATACTGTAAACATAACATGTTTTGACTGCAAAAGAAAGGGGAAACAATAGTTGGGAATTCAAGAAAGAGTACTTTCAAGTTCCCAAGAGTACCTTAGGGTTTCAAAAATTACTTACTTTATATACATAGGGGTAAAAGTATAAATATAAAAAATTTTAACGGGTTAACGGTTTATCCGATAAGAAAATTGAGTAATCCACCCCCAAACCGTTAAGCCGTTAATTATAAAATCTTAATCCGTTCACCAACCGTTACCCCGATAAACCGATACCAATAAGCCAATAAGCCATTTTTTCGATTCGGTTAACGATTACGATTCGGTTTTGAACACCCTAAGTCTCTCTAATTAAGGGTGGTGAGGGTGGGAAGGGTTAGCTTTCTGCATTTTATGCTGCAAAAGTGCTCTTAAGGATTCTTTACCGAATTGTCCTTTTCTATCTAAAGGCATTCCATCATTCCTACTCCATTCTTCCGCCAGAAACATCAGCATTCTCATTTCTTTCATCTTGGCCAGATCAAGCCAAGGATGAGTTGATAGGAATGTTAAAATTCAGCTGACTTGACCAAGGAGGGTTCTTAGTCAGTATCAGAAAAGTCTACTCCGTCCATATCCACAGGATATTCAAATCCTAGAGACACAACATCTATTGAGATATCTTTTGCATCATCTTCATTCAAACCAAACGTGCTGAAATGCTGAAAGAATTTCGTTTTCTGTTTGATGAATCAAACAAGATAAACCCGCTGAACTTCGTGGAGTTAGGTGGTCCAAAGTATTTTAGGCAAAAGTACGAGCTTGCGTCAATCCTTTTGGTCCCGTGTTAACCGCATGAAGGAGATGATTCATTCTATTCCCTTGGCTATATTTGACTAAGACCCACAGAATATCTCAAAGTGGATATACGAGCATCATGCCGCTTATCTCTTTATTCTAAGGTTCAACTTCTTCACACATTTTTCTTGAAGACTGCTCGCTGCATTTTTTCTAGGTTCTATATTCCAACATCAAAGTTAGTTCAGCTTGTTTTTTCATCTTCATATACAGCCACTCATTAAACTTAATGAATTGATCTAATAATATAAACCCGGCTCTCTAAAGATTCTTCTGCAATGTCTAGCCATAATTTGGTCACGAGTTCTCAAATCAACTTCCATTCCCAATTTGAATCAAAAAGATTTGCTTCTCACACTTTTTAACTACTTTCGCACAAATGCCTTGTAACCATATTACAGGATAAATTATCACAAGCATATGTTCCACTTCGGAATTAAGGCTTGTTCTTCTTTCCAATATTTGTGAGTACTCTTTTAGCCCTTTTTTGTCTGGTCATAGACTTGTATGTCAGTATAGGCACAACTGCAATATCTAGAGATTCTCTAGTTTTAAACAATCTCTAATTTGTGTTAAAAGCAAATTATTTATTTTGATTGAAATCCGAGTATAAAAAACAGAATGAATATAGAGGACTTTAAACTAAAAAATATACTAGTAGTAGTTTTTGTTGAGCCCTTAATCTTTGAATGCTAGCTAAATAACCTGCAGTAAAACCTCGCTTAAACAATTTTATACATATGCGAGTAAACAGGTGTAATAAAGCGGGCCGAACGCAATAATGTGTAGTTTGTTGAATGCATATAGACTGGACGAAAAGAAGAAGCAAAATCCAAAGCTTAATGTACATTTCGCACAATTAAACAGGAAAAATGAGGAAGTAACTGACCTATCGAAGAAACCAATTGGGGCTTCTGAAATTTCCTTCTTTTTCATGAATTTCGCAGAGACTGAGGAGATAATAGTGATACGAGGCTTCTAACACTCATTTCATTGTATTTTCTCGTCTTCCATTCTCCCGCCGGGCAGTGGCGCCGGTGACGTCACATGTAGAGCACGTGACGCCTTAGAAAAAACGAAAAATACATAATCGTGCTTATGTGCCCTTTTTAAATTTTCTATGAAAAAGGAAGAAATTATGGCACATTGAGAAGCCACTTTACAAAATGGCATATTGGTAAATAATGTAGTAGTAAATTATTTTACATAAATTTTGTTTATAAATTATGTTAAAAATTTATTTTTATAGTATTATCAAGTATTTTATCAAGAGTTTAAGTTATACAGTAACATTGTAAAGAGATTTTTATACTATATACGAAAAAGGTCCAAATATGCCCTTTTACTATACGAAATTGAGCACGTTTGCTCTTCGTTAATACTTTAGCTCAAATATGCCCTTACCGTCACATAGTTGGTCCATATATGCCCTTTTCGAAACGGAATCCACCCAAACTAATTAGCTCTTTCGTTAATTGTATTAAAGTGTATTACAAACACTATTTTCTTTTTATTAGCACTCTTTTTCTTTACCTTTCTCCTTTTTTCTTCTTTTTTCTTTTCTTCTTTTTTTTTCCTTTTTCTTTTTCTCTTATCCGATTTCCTCTATTACTGATGCCTTCTCCATTTTTGTCACCAATTTCACTTGACAAAACTCATGAATTCCAATTACTAAGAAATTTCTCCCATAATAATTTTTTTATAGATTATATGTTTGTCAATTTTTTAATTTTTACTGAACATATATTTAGTTCTAAAATTTTTAACAAAGTAAGATTGAAATAATATTTATGTAACAAAGCCCCCGAACAATCCAACAAAATCGAACAATCCAAACCGATATAGCTGGTTTGGTTCGGTTTTGATAAAAACCGAACCAACTCGTTCCATGTACACCCCTAATTTACATAGTTAATAAAAAAAAAATAGAAAATGTCCAGCTGAAAAAAGATGAAAAAAGACTAACAACTCAAATTTATAACACTACAACTTGAACTCTAGGCTTTTAATCATTAAATTATCTTTCTGAAAATAATTTAAATATTTTGGTCTTTTGAGTATTGTTAAAAATTGAGATATTTTTATTATTTTAAAGTTTAAACTATAATTTTTGGAACAATTTAATTTCATTTATTTAGAGGGCCAGTGAAATTGAAACTTGATTACCTTATGGGAATATTTTCTTAGAATTTGAAATTCATGAATTTTGTCAAGTGAAATTGGTGACGAAAATGAAGAATATATCAGTAATGGAGGAAATGGATAAGGGAGAAAGAAAAAGAAAAAAAAAAGAGAAGAAAAGAAAAAAGAAGAAAGAAAAAAGAAAGGTAAAGAAAAAAATTACTAATAACAAGGAAATAGTGTTTGTAATATACTTTAATACAATTAACGAAAGAGCTAATTAGTTTGGGTGAATTCCGTTTCGAAAAGGGCATATATGGGCCAACTGTGTAACTCTAAGGGCATATATGGACCAACTATGTGATGATAAGGGCATATTTGAGCTAAAGTATTAACGAAGGGTAAATGTGCTCAATTTCGTATAGTACAAGGGCATATTTGGACCTTTGCCCTACTATATATCAACAAGTTCCATGACATAATACGGACCTACTCGAGGCCTCAAATCACGCATAACAACTCCCAAATGACATAATGTCACGACCCAATTTCACTTATAGGTCGTGATGGCGCCCAACACTACAGCTAGGCAAGCCAACTAATAAATTAAACGTATATTGATTAAACTTTTAATTCAAGAAAATAATAAAATACCAAATTCTACCAATGTGTGTGCCAAGACCTGGTGTCACAAGTGTATAACCATCTAGTAGATTATACAAAACTTCAAATACTGTCTGAAATAAAAATAGACAGAATGAAACAAAATACAAGGAGAGACACTGGTAGCTGTAGAACGACTCAGAAAGGTAGCTCGCCACTATGCCCCTGGATAACATGGGTGTAAGACGGTAGGTCCCCACTAGTACTTGCCTCAAGTCCTGCACAAAAAGTACACCAAGTGTAGTATGAGTACGTAAACAACGTGTACCCAGTAAGTATCAAGCCTAATCTCGAAGTGGTAGAGACGAGATGGCCGACTTTGACACTCACTACGGGTCAATAATAATAATTGAAATAAAACTAGAATATATAATTCTGCATGATTCACAGAATATAACAATAATTTATTTAACCAGCAGAAATAATTAAATTCCTTCAAATGCAACAATTCTCAGTATACTAACTAAATTTCTTCAATTCCAATAAATTTCTAGTTCATCAATTAATCTCATTTACAGGAATAACAATAATTCCTTAGCTAACAGGGATAATAATCCTTAAATTCCAAAGATTTTTAAATTTATCAATTAGCTTCACAAGCTAATATAAACTAT